TGGGAATGAATGGGAGTTAAGATAGACTGTCAACAACTACACCACCTCTGCTTTGCTTATGGCATTGTTCTAATAACACCAAACATTAGACAAGTGGCACAAATGCTGGCTGAGTTCGATCGTGAGTGTGCAAGGGTCGGACTGCAGTTAATTCTCACGAAGATAATGTTTATGAGAAACAGTTTTGTTCCTGACGTTCCATTCGCTCTCAACAGAATGAACATCTCCAAATGCAACAGTTATGTGTACCTAGGTCGAAAACTCAACATGACGATGACTTTGCACCCGAGTTGCGCAGGAGGAAGAGAGTGGCTTGGAACGCCTTCAAGAGTGTCAAAGAAATAGCTGAGAGGATGAAGAACCTCTGGCTCTGGGCACATCTATTCGATTCCACTGTTCTTCCTGCATTAACATATGCCTCAGAGACCTGGGCCCTACAGAAACAGGATGAGAACGCCATTTGCGATTCCCAAAGAGGAATCGAAAGAACTATGCTTGCAGTATCATGCTTCACTCAAGTGAGAGAAAGAATCTGGAGTTCCAACATCCGTCGACTATCGAGAATCAGGGATGCTGTCTCATTTGCCAAGGCATCGAAAATCAGATGGGCTGGATATGTAATGCGATTTGGAGACAACCGCTTGACTAGAGCCGTTACCAAGTGGATTCCATGAAACGTCAAAAGATCAACTGGTCGCCCACCTATAAGATGGTCACACTTCTTTGTCAAGACCCTGAACAATCGGTTTGAGGCTCTTCGCGTCCCTGGAACAAGCAGACACCACTGGGCTACACTGGCACTCGACAGGGATGAATGGAGATGCTACTGGTGCCCGCTCGAGCAAATCGATGAGTAATGGGCTGTCTAAGTGATCAAGTGATCAACCCTTTGGTGTGATACTCTTAGCTTCAATTAACATCTCCTGTATTTCTTGGGAGGTAAACCAGGTGTCCCCAGAGGAAGATGAAGAATTATTGATCTCGGAGATGAGACACTGTGATATTGACCCCTCTTCTGTTTCCCTGGAATATTTTTTTTGCTGATACTTGGTATTAGAAGGGACAGTGGTGGCTACACCTGTCAGCTTTTCAGTCATGATTGGTCACAGAAGCCTCTGGGGGTGTTGAGTTGGTGATATAGGTTTAAGAAATCAAGTGAGTTCTTGCTTGCCTAGCAGTTTCATTCCGTGAAATATTGAAAGGGCTGCATTATGTCCTCAGTCAGGCATGGGGCAGTTCATGGATTTGTCCCCTGAATGAAGGGGAGGCTAGAGAACCAAGTAGCAAAGACAGCTACACCACCAAAGGTTGGCCCTGAACATGCCTTCTTGGTTAAGTTTCTTAAATTGGAGATGCGTTCAGGGCAGAGAAGAAGGGAAATAAATATTTTCCCAGGCTTGGCCAATATGACACTTTTTAATTTTCTAAAGAAATTTGTTTTTGATGGTTTGGTACATTCAATAGTCCAACACCAACCCCATCATAATGCACCTTCCCACAACCATTATTTCCAGTGTTCTCAATCACCTCTCCAGCCTAACCCTATAGTAGGCCCTGAATAAATTATTTTATTTTGCTTGTTATAAAAAAGTCACAAAAAATCATCAAAAGTGTTTTCTTAGAATAAAGTACGTGAAGATTGTTGTATCTCCCCATGGAGCCCTTAAGCCGTTGTATAAGCGATTGCTAACTTGTTGTTACAGGATAAGCCGTGTGTGTTTTAATCTTGTTGATCGAGATTGGTTGCCTTCTATTTTACATCACATCCAATGTGGTGTGCGACTTCTGGTTTATCAGTATGTAATGTTTGAGATGAATTTAGACTGCTTTTCAGGAATACAAAATTTTGAATGGGGTGATACAGCAAAAGTTAAATTTTGACTGGATTGTGACATTGGGTGACAGGATCTCGAAAATCTCTGTAACCTGTTGGGTCTCTTTTGAGATTTAATGAGCTTCTGGATCATGGCTGACTAATGAGATTATTGAACACAGGAAGAAGGTTAAGGGCATGACCGCCAGGCTTCCAGAAGAACAGGGGAAGGTATCCTTTCCATGACTCCATGAGAGCCTGGAGATTTCAGTCACACAACTCACATACATGTGTTGTTCAACAGATTCATTTCTGGGGGAGTCTCATTCAGAGCCTAACAAAAATGACCATGATGTTACCAGTGGTTGGAGTGTAGAAGTTCTCTGCTGACAAAACTCTGTTTTGGTAGGTGCTGGCTCAACCCTCCATTCTGGGATGTCCAAGATGATTCAACCTGCCATGGGCTCTGGCAGCATCTCTGCCCCAATACAAATTTTTAGTGACTAAAATTCCACTGAATTCCTGAGAATAGAGCACAGATTTTAGAATGATGTGGCGATCCTAACTTGACTTTGCTCTTGTGATTTGTAGCTCTCGCTGAGACTAGTTACTCAGATTCTGGAATTATTTTGAGAGGGGGTGAGCAAAACTGGAGGTGTTTAGGCATTACTCTTGGCTCTGCACTGACAGTTCCCAAGGTGCACGAGCTATATGAGAGATGGAACATTAGTTGGTCACATGCAATGCAAGTGCCCTAACCTAAGTACTCCTACATCAGCCCCATTATTTTTTAATATTTTTATACCTAGACTATAGACCAAACATGATTGCCACTCAATGAATCGTTTTCAAACCACAACACCCAAAAGGATAGAGAGAACACAGGGGATTGCCCTGCCACAGAGGCAGGGTGAGATGGGGGGCATGGGGGTGGGAGGGATACTGGAACCCGTGGTGGTGGAAAATGGGCACTGGTGGAGGGATGGGTACTTGATCATTGTATAACTGAAACCCAAGCACAAAAATTTGTAAGTTTACAACTATACCTCATGGTGTTTCACTAATAAAAATTTTTAAAAAATTATTTCTTTACTTTGAAGGAGACATTGGGACCACACCTGGTGGAGGGCAAGGAATACTTCTGACTCTGATATATGTTCACTGAGAATATTTCCATGCTCCAGTGAACATATCTCATGCTCGGTAGCTACTAGGGTCTTCCACATGCAAGGCAAGTGCTATCTCTCTGGCACTAGTAATGAAGAACTTTTATTTTGCTTCACTTTTAGGATACAGATCAAAATCCGCATTGCACACATGCAAGAAGTGCTCTGTGAATGATGAACAGACTGACTAATAATACAATTTGATTAAATTTTTCTGGGAAGTACACTATTCAGTTTGGCCAACTGCCCATGTAGCATGAGGCACTGGGACAGAGAATCCCAGGCGCGCAGCCTGAATGTGCACTTTGTAGTGGATTTGGGTAGATGCCCAGATAGTCTTTGTGCATATACCACCTAACAACTTTCTGTGATGTTCTACATGACTTTCATTTCTAAATATTTGATTTGATTTCACTCTCACAAGTCACATGTGAGTGCTAAATTGGAAAGGAAAAGTGTTCCTAAGCGAAGAGAATAAAATTATTATCTTCTCTCTCGTGACCCTATTCTTCTCAACCTGAACATGCGGAGGCAATGACAAGACAAAGCACATCAATTTGCGGAGCAGTAAAAGGCAAGCTGGGGTTCATAGATTAAGGCAGACAACAGAGAAAATTATTGCTGGAGGTTTTGTCAAGTTAGAGATTTCTGGAGGGCACAGAAATGTAAAAAGTGAAAGGAGGAAGTGGACGACTTGAACAGGCTTTCATTCTGCTCCAACAGTGAAGGGTTCTAGGAAGCATGAACCCTGTTCCATGATATCATCTTTACTGCTCCATCAATTGATGCCTGATGGTTTTGTTTTCTTTTTCTTTTATTTATTTAACTTTGTTATTGAATCACTGAGATAGAACCTTACAAAACTGTTCATGATTGGATTTCAGTCCTATACTATTCCAACCCCTCTCCCTCAACCAGTGTACATTTCCCAGGACCAATGTCCCCAGGTTTCCTCCCATCACACCCCCCTACCCCCACCTCTCTCTCTCTTTCTCTCTCTTTTTCCAACCCCGTTGAGGAGTATAGTTCTCTATATTGATTCTGAAAGGTTATATAGATTATCACTTACCTGCTTTTAGCCCTCAGATCTTGTCCACAAATATTGTTCACAGAGCTTATTGTCATACTGGTCTCTTCTCTATCTCTCCTACCCTCATCGATGGTTTCTTAAAGCAAAAGCTTTGGGTCTAATTCAAATAGAAAGACTTCCTCTGGCTCTTGGTACCACTCTAAGTGACCTCACAGAGGTCACTTTGTCAACTACCCATTATACTGACTTTCCCAGAGTAAAAGACAGAGCAGGTAGGATTATCCTGCCTATGTGCACAAAGAGAAAATTGCAAGAACGGGGTTTCCCACAAAAATGATTATCTCCAGTCTAGTGTGCCTTGCTCTTCACTTTGATCTAACCATGACAGAGAATTTTGATGGGAGCACATGAGTCTATCTAGCCAGTCTCAAATTCACAAATTTCAGAATTTAGGCATGCTTGTTCCCCTATTAAAATACAATCTTATGCTCATAGATATTTTGATATAGTCATTACCAAATGGGTGACTTTGCATTGATTTGTTAGTCTGAGTGTGAAAGTTGATGAGCATTGCTGATATGATAGCTGACAGTGGGGTGGAAGGGGGAGGGTTTCCGTGTCTGAGAAGACCTACCAGTGAGAAGTGTATGTGTGTAGTGGGTGTGATTAAATTTAACTTTATTCTGATGTTCTCTGCCAACTGTGTCAAAATACCCTTTTAATTTTACTCTTCCTTATAGGGTCCTCACCTGGAAATGCTCTGGGCCTCTTCCTTCCTCTGTGATCAGGAGTGACCCCTGGTGGTTCTCAGGGTATCGATGATGCTACAATTTTGAAAGTGGCAGCCACACACCTAGCAAGCACTTCCTCAGCCTGGACACCTGCAATACTGGGAAAGCTCTTACTCATGAGCCCCCAACACAACTCTCTGATCTCCACACCTTGGTTTAGCCGCATTTGGATTAAAACAATATTATCACCATTACTTGTAATATTTTATCCATTTAAGAAACATCCATCCATATTTCTTTTTTCAAAGTGGGTTGCATTATATGCCGAGCAGTACACAAATCAATGCAAGCAACGTCACCAAGATGCAATGAATAGTTCATCAGGATACCAGGGAGAAATGAATTATCATAAACAATCATCCCCCTGGCATGCACTTTTGCAAAGACTGAACGATGATCAACATCTATGTGAGATCCAGAACAATCTAGAACTTCATTCCCATGGGAACAGCTCTGAAGGAAGATCTTTCATCTTCTCCTGGTATATTTCATCAAAGGTTTCTGCTTGTGCCACTGTGAGGTGATTTTTCCAGTCTCCAGATACACCTGATAAACATAAAAAAGGGACTCTGATTAGATGATTTCAGCTCTGCTGACACCAAGATATCTTCTCCTCTGCCAAGTACTAATGCAGAAAAGGAAAACTAAGAGCAAGTCTAAGCAAGTCTTAGCAAAACTAGGTCATGCTGTGCTAGGATTCTTCACTTTACTGAGTGTAACTGGCAAGGAATGTGAGAGAGCCATTTTTCATTTCTTTTTTATTTGTTTATTTCTGGACTACAACTAGCAGTGTCAAGGTTTCCTCTTGGGGCTTTGTTCAGGAATCACTCCTTGGTCAGCTCAGGTAGGTGTTGCTGCACCAAGCCTAGGTCGGCTGTATGCTGTGCAAGTGACTTCTATCTTTTCTCTTGTTTTCTCTTCAGTTCCTTCTGTTCTTTTAAAATACTGAATTAATTTTCTTCAGACTAATCTCGACCTGGAGGTCACTGGCCAGGATTTCTATGTCAGAATACTTGGGGATCTGAGGGATATTGCTCTCCATGAGAGGAAGTGCTCCTCCCGGTAATTACCCAAACACACTTTTGTCCACTATCTGCTTAAAGGATATAAGTTGTAGCAATCTAGGGCTGTGTCTTAGTATCTTATTGTGGTAATAACTCCTTATAGAATATATCTCCAAATCTAGTTCTGAAGTCCTGAACAGGGAATGGGAGTCACTTCAAAGACAGAAATTAGCCCGGCACGCACCTCATCCTGCTCTCCACAAAATTATCGTCCTCTCACACCAGAAAAATGTATTCTCACCCAGCTGCCAAAATGTTCCCACCCTCTAAAGCAATAGCTTTCCTCAAGTGGTCTGTGATTCAAGTTACCTGTTTTCATATGCAACATCATGAACTGCAGAACACAGGTCTCTTTTCCAAAGGAAAGAATCAGAATCAAGCCAGACATTGCAGAAAAATAGTAGTTGACTAAGGGTCACTGAGCAGGGGCCAGAGCCATAGCACAGGGGTTAGTCCTTTGCCTTCCACATGGCCCTACCAGTTTCTATGTCTGGCATCCCACAGGGTCCCCCTTGAACCACTAGGAGTAATTCCTGAGTGAAGTGCCAAGAGTAAATACTGAACATCACTGGCATGGCTCACACCATCCCTCATTTCCACCCACCCGAAAAAAGAGTAACACATCAAATTCTCCTGGATTTTAAGCATCAAGGAAAGCCTCTAATTCCTGCACAACCTCTAGGCCACCATTGCGTGTCACCTGACACCACAACCCTGGGTGACAGCCTGGCCTGGCTGAGTATGAAAATCATTTCCTTCCTTCTTCTAGCCTCACATCCTTGAAGCTGGAATTTTCCAAGTCTTAATCACTTAATCACTTAACTTCCCATTAGTCGTCGATTTGCTCTTGCGGGCGCCAGTAACGTCTCCATTTGTCCCTGTCGCGTGCTAGTGTAGCCCAATGGCATCTGTTCTCTCTGGGAACATGAAGAGCCTCAAACCGATCGTTCATGATCTTGACGAAAAAATCTGACCATCTGGTAGGTGGGCGGCCGCGCAGTCTTTTGACATCCCGTGGAATCCAGTCGGTAACAGCTCTAGTCCAGAGGTCGTCTTTAAATCTCATTAGGTGACCAGCCCATCTTATTTTTGACACCTTGGGAAATGAGACAGCGTCCCTGATTCGTGATCGTCAAAGGATGTCAGAACTCCAGATTCTTTCTCTCATTTGAGTGAAACGTGATATTCCAAGCATAGCTCTTTCTATTCTTCTTTGGGAGACCTGAATAGCATTCTCATCCTGTTTGCATAGGGCCCAGGTCTCTGAGGCATGTGTTAATGTAGGAAGAACAGTGGAATCAAAGAGATGTGCCCGGAGCCGGAGGTTCTTCTTCCTCTTAGCTATTTCTTCGACGTTCTTGAAGGTCTTCCAAGCCGCTCTCTTCCTCTTGCGCAGCTCGGGTGCCAGGTCATTTGTCATGTTGACTTCTCGACCTAGGTACACATAGCTGTTGCATTCGGAGATGGTCGTTCCGTTGAGAGCGAATGGGGCATCAGGAACGAGGCTGTTTCTCATAAACATTATCTTCGTAAGATTCAGCTGTAGTCCAACCTTTCCACTCTCACGGTCAAAGTCGGCCAGCATTTGTGCCGCTTAACTGATGTTTGGTGTTATTAAAACAATGTCATCAGCAAAGGGGAGGTGGTGTAGTTGCCGACGATCTATCTTCACTCCCATTCCTTCCCATTCCAGTCGTCACATGATGTTCTCGAGGGTGGCACTGAAGAGTTTCGGTGAAATGGTATCACCCTGCCGCACCCCTCTCTTGACATCAACGATCACTTCTTTGTAGAATGGTGAGATCCTAGTAGTGAATCCGCAATACAGCTCACGGAGGATCCTGATGTATTGGGCTTGAATGCCCTGATTGGCTAGGGCCTCAATGACCACTTCCTTCTCAACAGAATCAAAGGCCTTCTTTAAATCAATGAACGTTAAACAGAGCAGCATCTTGAACTCCTGAGAAACCTCAATGAGCTTGGTTATCGTCTGGATATGGTCAATGGTGCTGAATCCGTTGCGGAACCCGGCTTGCTCTCATGGTTGTCCTTCATCTAGTGTTCTGCCAATCCTATTTAGGATGACTCGAGTGAACAACTTGTAGATGACAGACAATAGGCAGATCGGGCGAGAGTTGCCAATGTCATGGATGTCTCACTTCTTGAACAGTAGTACGGTGCTGCTGGTTTTCCATTAGGACGGAACCCTGCATTCAGACAGGTAGCGAGTGAAGAGCCAAGCCAGTGTATTGAAGAGTACTGACGGCAGGTTCTTCAGGTGTTCAGGTCTGACCTTGTCTGGGCCGGATGCTGTTCATTTCTTTACTGATGAAATGGCATGTCGGATTTCGGAAGGGAGAACGTTGGGAACGACATATCCATCCTGTGGAATTTGGTATGTCGGCAAGTGGACATGGCTATCGAAGAGATTTGAGTAGAAGTCATGGATAATCTTCTCCATTGCCATTCTGGAAGATGTGATGGATCCATCAGGACGTCGGAGGGCAGTCATCTTGGTCTTGTATTTGGCGAAGGACAGGCGGGCGTTACAAATACTTTTCCCGGATTCTGCTGCATCTACCAGTACTTTTGCTCTTCTCTCTTTGAGGTCTTCCTTGATCGCATCTCTGCACTGCTTTGCGAGCTCGGACGTTAGCTTGCAGTTGCCTGAGGCATGCGCCAAACCACGCTGGCGAATTAGCTCAAGAGTTTTCGAAGATAGGCGATTTTTTGTGGCTCTCTCTCTCTTGGCGTTCCTTTCACATTCATGGAGGTGCTGAACCAGTCGACCGTATTCCTCGTCAATGTTGTCAACAATGGCATCTTCCCATGTTGCCGCAATATTGCCAAAGAGTTCCCAGTTGGTGGTCATTCTGGAAGTTCTCTTTTTGAACTTTGCAGCCCTTTCTCCCCGCTCTGCAAAATTCTACTTCTACTTCCAAGTCTGTGCCTGAGAAACTCTTCATCTTGAGCCCGAGGGTAGGGAATTCATCAAATTTTATTACACAGATCTGACAGAAACTTGTAGGAACACAGTCTTTTTGCAGAGTAAAAAACCTGATCTGTTCTCTCAAAGGTTAAAAACTCTAGACATTTATTAGTTCAGGACAGTGATAAGACCATGGCCAATTTCACTCTCTTCCCCAGGTCTTTCAGACTGGTCTGTTTAATTTTGGTCAGGAATTCACTAGGACCCCTTTGTAAGCTGAATATCTGCGTGCCAATTTCTTAGAAGAGGGATAGATCTACTGACATCACAGAACTCAGATGATCCCAAAGCAGGAATTAGCATCTGCCAGTGCCTGTAGCCCACGTCATAACTATGAGAGATTTTCACCCAGGTCAGCGAGAAGGGCAATGAGTGATTGACAATGTCCATGCATGAACTCAAACTCTTGTACTCTCTACCCTGTTGTCCTGCCATACACATAGCATTTTCCTTTACCTTTTCTCATCATGGTTGATGTCTTTAGATCAATAGCAACACCATCCACAAGAGAATAATTGGACATCTTGTTGTCTTTCATAGCCTGGAAGGAAGAATTCTCGAGGACTGAATCCAGGGCTTCTGGTCCTAATTCCATGCCCAGAAATCGACAGATCTTCTGCACACTGTTTCTTTTGTCCTTGAAGAAGACCAGATAAGAACAATGATTTGAAAGATACTAGAGAGGAGATGAGAGGGAAGTGCCCCAAAGGGAGATGGGGATTAGGTGCAGAAGAGCATTTGGAAATTCAAGCGCCCAGAAGCTGGATAGACTGGAAAAAGTCAGAAGAAACACAGAAAGTGTTAAGAAGGAAGGTCCGCCCTGTTCTCTGAGAGGTAGCTGAGCCCTTGCAGAGTCCAGAACACAAGATGCTGAAAAGACTTCAGACACCTGTGGTCAGAGTCACTCAAGACAGGTCCAGGGAGAAGATGACACGGTGAAAGGGATGGACTCCAGCTCTCGTGACTCCTTAAAGGGTGTCAGAAACACTCCAACTGAGGTGCATACACGTGCACAGTGTCATCCTGCACACAGCGTTACTCATTTCACTGGTTACACGAAGCACCAGCGGGAGGTGATGAGAAAACGGATGTTTCTCTTTGCTGTGACTCATGAACCTTAGTCCTTTCAGAACCAAGAAACTTTCTACTTTGTTTTTTTCCATGAGTCGTGATTGTATTTCACAAGATAACTTCTGACATGAGAAACGATGTCAGGAAAGTTGTTTTGGTGACTGGAAACTTCTTCAGAGGATGAAAGGGAGTGGGTGTCAGAAGGAAAGTCTCATGTTAGCGAGGTATTTTGGGTAATAGGGAATAACTCCAGATACATCTGGGCAGCTCAAGTTGCTTCCACAGCCCATCATTCCCACCCCCATGAGCAGCACCCCCAGTGGACGACCCAGTACCTATGTGACTCTCATGCATCATCTGTCTCTGCGCGGACTGTCACTCTTTCAATGTTGTTAAAGGGAGCAAAGAACCACGGTAAAGAGTAAGGAGTCTGGGGAGAGCTCTTCCAAAAGGGGGCACCCCTGGCACAAACTGTCCTCTCCCTGGGGACCTACCATATATCGGCAGAGATGTTGGTTTGAGACACAGATGAGGATGCACAGGAAATAAGATGCAGATAGTTTGGGGGTTTGACCACAAGAACCAGAGTTACCCTTTTCAGCTCTTCATAACTCAGCAGCAGGAAGTTATCCCGACCTCTCATGGACATCCAGCCATGAATATGGTCGAACCACGATCCGTAGGGGACTGCAGAATGAGGAAGCAGAGAAAGAAGAGGGTCTCACATCATGCTGCTTAGGATCCTTGATTGTCAAAACTCAAGCAACATCGCTTGTGCCTCTTCACACTGGGGCCTTTCCTAGGAGTCACTGATTGAATGGGAGGATGTTGGAACTTGCAAAGATATAGCCCAAGATGTCAGGGGAAGTCGGGTTCTTTCATCCAGGTATTGGATGAAAAGCTGACCTCCAGGCTCTACCCCCGGGGAACAAGGAATGGAGGACCAATACTCCATGGTGTCCAATAGGTCCTGATGCTGGAGGTTTGTGAGGCTGCACTCTAGCAAAAAATTGGGACCTAGAAAAGTTGGGCTTCATACTGACAAACCGGGTGCTCATTTGTTGGGAAGACATTGAGTTACCATCTGGGTGTAACATGAGTTCTCATAAAGGACTCTGACATCCTCTATCCAACTACTGTATTTTACAGTCACTCACCATTTCCTTCGAGGAACCAATCAAAATATTGTTCCATTGATTCTGCTGCTTGAACATATTTTAAGCCTTTCCAGAACAAATGTCCAGACACAATAACATCTCTGGGATTTCTAATGACATAAATCACCTTCAATAGAAAAAGGGGACAAAATCAACCATTGGAATGATGTTCTATCCTTCCTATGAAAATTCATTCATATTGAGGAGCATCAGTTTAAAACACGACTGTGTTTCCAGTGTGCCACAGAGGACATCCTTGTGGTCTCCCCTCAAACTCGAGCTTCCACACAACACCAAACAATCCCTCCCATTACCTAAACCTACTCCTACTGAGTTAGTAACCAATGTTATTAATATTAATTTTATCTATCTAAAGTCTTATATTCATTGATCATTTGAGGTGCATGGGAGGGGGCTGTTTGGAACACACATCAGTTACTCAGGGTATACTCCTGGCTCTCCTTTCAGGAATCTTACTCTTGGGCTTAGGGGACCGTATTGGGCATTGGGAACTGAAGTTGGATTGCACTCGTACCAGCCTCACACTCTTCCTTCTGCACTATTGCTCCTGCCCTCTTTGCTCATTTTTAATTTTATTTTTTAAATATTTTTAATTTTTAATGAATAATCATGGGATACAGTTACAGACTTATGAAATTTTGTGCTTCAGTTTCAGTCATACAGTGCTTGAGTACCCATCCCTCCACCAGTGCCCATTCTTCACCACCAATGTTCCTAGTATCCCTCCCACATCTCTACCTTCCCCCACCCCGCCTCTGTATCAGGCAGATTCCCTTTTTACTCTCTCTCTCTCTCTCTCTCTCTCCTTTAGGGTGTTGTGGTATGCAGTGCAGGTGTTAGGTGGCCATCATCTTCGGTCTATACTCTACTTTCAGTGCACTCCTCCCATTGGAGCGGGTCCTCCAAGTATCCGTTACTTGGTGGTCCCTTCTCTATCTGAACTGCCTTTTCCCCCAGCATGTGAGGCCGGCTTCCAACCCGTGATTTTTTCAGTTTTTCAACAAATTAATAAAATTATTGTAAGTTACTTGTCTTTATTGTTTGATTTGCTTCATAGAGCTTAATACTGTCACACTTCATACTTGTCAAAAAATAACATTTGCTATTTTTTAGTTTGGTCGTCTTCCATTTTACATGTTCATCTATCTTCTTCTATAATCCAAGAAAACACCATCAATACAAAATAACTAGGTGTGGGGAGAGCGGGATGGTGGGGAGAAGATGGTGGGAGCGTACCTACGAGAGGCCAGAGATGGCTAGTGCCAACGGCACTCAACTCTCTGAACAGCGGGCAGTGCAGTCACAATATATCTTCCTGAAAGAATGTAAGTGTCTTTTAAGTATTCTCCCTCAAAGAGTGCCTTTCGCAACCAGACTGGCACCCGCCATGGATCACTGCCTAGGAATGTGATCCCTGAAGAAGGCTTCAGCGTGGCTACAGGTGCCAGCGCTGTTGGAGGATTGGCGGTCATGTGCACTATGTCAGCAGACCACTGCAGCCACACAACTTCTGTGTGAATAAACAATGATCTTCATGTCCAACCTGGCACCACCGTAGCGCATGGGTCGTTGAGCAGAGGGGCGCCCCAGGTTCCCGCAATGGGGGGCAGGCTCGATGGCCCCAGCTACTCGCTTCTGCCAAGGCATCCCTGCCGCCACTGATCCTTCATCCTCCACAAGATCAGCTCTCACAGCAGTGGCCAACGGTATCATATCTCGGAGGAAAATCTTCCTGAGCTCCAACTGCCTGGAGACTGGACTCAGGATAGGGGCAAATGCCCTCTGGGAAGGTCCGGCTGGACTGGTTGTGGCCGCTTTCCGAGAGTGCCCAACTCACAGAACTTCTGGCCAGCATTGCTACTGCCATCACCCCTGGGGCCCAGAGGCTGCAGCGCAGCAGTTGGGGCAACTTGGACCTGCTGGGCCAGAGTATCAGCAGCCCAGTGGTGCCCCTGTGTTTCCTGACACCCCAAAATTTGGTGCTATGCCTCTGCCTAGACTCCTTCAACTATGAAAATAGTTTTCTAAAAAATTAGGCTGCCAAAATTTAGGTATGGTGTAGACATGCCCACCAACCACCTCTGGTGCTGCCACACAAACTCTTTTATTGAGCTTGCTCCAGAGACTGTCTAAATAAATCTCAAAAGAGATTTTTTTAAAAAGCTTCAGGAAAATTTTAAGACAGGTGCATGACTGAATCCTCCAGTGCACCTGGGGGATGTGGGAGTGAGTTAGCCCAGTGCATTCCCAGCGCCTTTAGCAGCCACTTGCTCCCACAGTCCAAAATCTCCACCATCCCCTGGACCAAACTCCAACATCAATGGACAGACCTCACCAAGATATTAATCTGCTAGAACTTTGGGTATGCTGGCTTTATGACTGAAATATCCAGGCTCTTTTGCAGTTGTTATGGGCTAATTCCTCCCACTTTTCTGCAATTCCAGAAGCCCTGGCAGTTATGTTCAACCCAAAACTGACACTCATTTACAAACTCCACTCCAGTTGTACCTTCTCCAAATAAATACTGAACTTCTTGAACAAACACATTTCCTCTCAGTACCTGTATAGCAAACCAAAATGCTCAAAAGGAGAAAGGGAGAGGTTGAGAGAGAGAGAGGAGAGAGAGAATTGCCTGCTATAGGAGAGAGAGAGAGAGAGAGAGAGAGAGAGAGAGAGAGAGAGAGAGAGAGAGAGAGAATTGTCTGCTATAGAGGCAGGCTTAGGGTGGGTGGGACGGAAACTGGGCACATTGGTAGTGGAAAGTGTACACTGGTGAAGAGATGGTAGTTGCAACATTGTATGACTGAAACCCTCTAATGAAAAAAAGTAAAAAAGAATCCCAACAAGGTTTCAAAGATACCCAGTCCTGGATCTCCATGTTACTGAATGCCAACATTGATACTCAGAGTTCCCCCTGAACTGAGTTTGGGAGACAGAAGGGCTTCCAGGAAAACAGAAATCAGAAATCCTAGAATCCAAAATACCCTTCACTTCTCCATTGTTTCATTTCAGGAGGAAATGAGGGGATTGTGAGTCCAGGACACAGAGAAGAGGTCCAGAGATGAGAAGGCAGAGGTGCGCCTGTCCATCTACATGGACTTACTCTTCCTCACTTGGCTCTACTCTTCATTTCAAACTGACTTTTGTCTACAGATACACAGTTTATTATTTTTTTGTCTGATCTATGTGGGTCACTTGTCATTCCCATGTGAGATGTGTTAGACTGTTGGACTTAATAGACATTGGCAATTAGTAGAGATAAAGGGGCAGAAAATTCAGGGAGGGGTATCAACCACTCACCCTGGCTTGCAGTTCATTTATGAATGTTCCCAGCAGTTTCCTATGGATGGCTCTTTGGGCTTCAACCTGACCTAATGGAAGTAGCATCTTAAACAGAGTGGGGTGACATAGCACAGAAAAGAACTCTTTATTTGTATTTTAACTTAGCTATCAGAAACCCTGTGAAGCGATTGAGAGACTGCACTCAGAAATGCACAGTAACGTCATCCAATACAGAATCACAGACCCCACTTCAGGCCCTTGAAAGAAACTTTGCATCTCCACCACAGTCTCTGCTAACCTCTGGGCATAGCGACATTTAAAAAGCATTGATCAAATATATGAGGACCATTGTGCACTCACCTTCACTTTGGCATTGGAGAATGACTTGGGCAGAAATTGGATTGGAAGGTGGGAAGATATAAATCGTGGGCCTTTCTGATCCTTTAATACCTTAAACCCTTCGTCTGTCTCTATCCAGGGGGAACGATCCCAGATTGGCACAGATTGAATCCACTTGGGATCGCCTTTGGAACGAATCAGGGAAAGAATCTCTATCATCCAGTTTGTTCCTAAATAAAGGACAGAAAATGATGATCAGACATCTTCTTTGACTTTTAAAAATGCACTGTATTAAATATGGAACAAAAAGTCACCATTTTCACACGTGCACCCCAGTTCTATCAACAAAAATTAAGATCTGAAAGCAACCAAATGCCCGCAAACAGATACGTGAATGAAAAAGACGAGAACTGTACAGATAGTGAGGAATCCTAGTCATCTGGTAGAAGAGATGCAGTCCAATTGTTCTCATCTCATGAGGGAGTAATGGAGAAATTAAATACCAGGTGACAGAGACACAGCATTGAATTCCGGAAGATTACAGGTCGCCAGAGTTCTCTCCAGACCCCGTACAGAGTTAATTCCACCAGGGCACCTCAGATGGAGTGGGTGTGCCCTCTCTGCTGGCTCCAAATGAAACCCTGGTGGCTATGAGCTTCCAGAGGAAAAATGCAGGTGCTTGGGTTCAGGGACTAAGACTCCAGGTCACATGGTAGCACGGGGATTGGCCCTCCCTTCCTGTCTTCCTGCCCACTTGGGGTTTCTAGACATCATGCCCGCCATGATCTGACGCTGGGTGCAATCACAACGCATCAAGGGCCTTGATCTAGAGACTCCCAAATGAATCTCAAAATGAATTAGCTCCCTACAGAGATGTCTCTGGACCCCAACCATTTTATATATGAGAATTCTGGAAGTACATGGACGCTTTCTCAGCCGAGTTACCCCTTATGATAATTATAATAAGCAATAGAAAATAAATTATTTAGAATCTGCCCCTCACAGGCAGGTTTGAATGGTGGTGCAAAAATTTAAAATAATGGTGGTTCGAAGGTGCAGTGGCGGTGAGATTGTTGTTGAAATATTGAATGTAGTCAAGTATTGTGAACAACCTTATGAAAATAAAATTAAAATAATTAGAAAAATAAATAAAAATAGATACCAGGTGATATAGCCGATAGATAATCAAGAAAATAAGGAAATAAAATAGAGGGACTCCTGGATGGCTACCCCTTAGCAGGCACAGTTTTGATTTTACCGAGGAGGCAGTGGGTGAGCTGTGGTTCAGGGGTGTTGGAAATTTGGTGTTGGATTTGGAATGGTTCAGTGTATCCCTAAACAGAAACATTTATTGCTCTTGAAACCCTCTGGTACCTCAGTATGCAAAGAAACAAGCAAGGGTCACAGTACTGGGGACATGCTTGGAGTTCTCTATGCGAGAAAGTCTTGACTTACAAGAAGGAACATCGTACCTGGTTATAAACATTCAAGCAGGACCTTCTACTGAATCCATATAAACTCTCCCTTTTCCCTCCCTTTACTCCCTATTCACCATTTATCTTTTTCTGTTTTCATGAGCTGCAGAACAGCAGGTGCCCTGCCTCAATGGACCAGAACGATAGTTTATCATTGTGTGGCTTGTCGTTAGACTCATTACAGTCATCTGGACTCAATACTCAGTTGAGAGCACACAAAATCTTGGGACTGTTTTTGAATTTCACTTTTCATAAAAGGATGAAGAATATGCCCTGAGATGTTGGTGCTACCTTTTATCTACATATTACTAAGGCATTTGATCTTGACTTTGTCTCTGCCTCTGTGCTAGTGGTCATTTATATGCACTTATCCCGTCCCTGAAATCAGACTCAGTCCTCATTTGTTTGCCTTCCCTCATAAATAACATCTGGATATACATAGCAGCCTAGCAACACAGCTTCAGGACACACCTCGGAAGACATGCAAGCCAGGATAAATCTCAGGGGTACACGCATCTTTAGCCTGAATATTATGGGGCTCCCTTAGGATGGGGAACAGGAAAAGTCCCTTCCTGATTGAAGCCCAGGCATCTGCACCTACCTCCCAGAGCTGGAGCCATAAAAAGAACCCAACTTCACGGCTTTAACTCATCTCTGAAGAGATACCAGGCCAATGAAAATTCTAGGTACATAGGTTTTTGGCCTGAAAACTCTGAGTTCTTCTTGAGTGGAGGAAAGCAGCCTCACCCATCCTGCTGTACTGTTGGAAGTCCCACAGGCAGCAGTCACATCCCACAGTCACTTTCTTATAACCAAGACCCAGCTTTACAGTCTCAGGAGAGATGCAAGCGAAGCCAAGTTGCTGAAACCAATCGGTCCAGTCCTACAGATCCTGGACTTCTGGAGTGTGCAGTTACATATGGGGCTGAGCAACTCCTTCAAATTCTATAATACTGACAGCCCATTAGAACACACCAACTTAAATAGGAAAGTAACGTAGAAGTCAACAAAGCTCAATTTAAAAAATCAATAACAGAGAAGCTCAACCATCGAGAAAACAACTTGGTAAACCCTCAGACAAACATTTTGACCCCATTGTAAGACATAACTATTTTCACAAATTTTGTTACTGCAGCATTATTTGGTAATTCCATTTTACTACTGGGTTGCAGCAAAAATATAAATCAATTATTTTGTGCCTGCTAAAGGGTGGCCTTTGTGGGGTTGGAGGGGGGAGCAATCTAAGAACTGTGGTAGAGGGAAGGTCACAATGGTCATGGGATAGGTTTGGAACACAAATGCCTGAAACAACAGTACTATGAACAACCATGTGAACCACTGTGTCTATATAAATCTTAAATAGAAAAAAAATAAAATAAAATGATGAATAGCATCTGGACAGGGGTGTCAGCACAATGGGCTAGATCAAATGTCAGACATTCTTGAAGGCTGAGTGAAATAACTGCATAAACCACCCTGTTCCCAGAAAACCTGGGAGAGTCTCCTAGATCCCTAGAAATGCTATGATTCCCACCAAAGAAATAACACCCGCATCATTCAACTAACTCACTCTTCCAAACCTTTTATTTCCTGACCATTGCTCACATTAATACCTTTTCCTGAAAACAACCTGTTCAATAAACAGTTTTACATGCATTATTTTTTAAAGTATATATATATCTATATAGAAAACATCATGATTTACCATATTGTTCATAATAACAGTTGTTTCAGGCATTAAATGTTCCAACACCATGCCTACCTCCAGTGTGACCTTCCCTCCACCAATGTCCCTGATAACCCACCCTCCATCTCAACCTCCTCGCTTAGAAGGCACGACAATTTTACTTCCTATGGTTTGTTACAACACAAAGGCAAATGGAATTACCCAAACTAAGGTCAATAAAAGTCCATTGGTTTTCACTGTTATAATTTCATAATGGAGTTACCGAATCATTGAAAAATTCCTGAGCAGGTTGGTGCTAGCTGATCACATTCATTCTTAGTACCTCAATTTATATGGTACTTTTCTTCTTTTTAAATTGTCTTTAATTCAAACATCACAACTGAGAAGTGAAACTCTACTTACAGGACACAACCTGATCACAGGACTATAGGTAGTGTGTAGTGATGCCGCTACAGTCCCAGCTAATCAACAATCAACCTCCCTCTAGGTCTTTGATGAGCTCTCTCTGGATTTCTGCATCTTGTCTTTAGTTAAAACACTTGACATGGTCTTAGATAGGTCCTAGATAGCCCTACCCTAACCCTGTTAGGATGTCTCTGTAAAAGGCCCACGTCCAGTTCCCTGGACACTGATGGTCTGGCCTGTAGAAAGTCTCTCTTCGTTCCCTAATGCCCACAGACAGAGCCACAACCCGTCTCTGCAGCGCTCCAGCTGCCTTACCTGATTTAGGGTAGGTTAGCAGCAAGACATCTTCATCCGTAAACAAAAAATTATGCCACTCTTCTGTCATGAAAGCAGGTGTGAAAACCACAGTGGGAAAAAGTACACCATTAATCCTTTTATTTTCACCAGACATTCTGGTTGCCTGTCTTTGGAGGAATGTGGTATCCACAGTTGGAGGTTACTTGATTGATTGTAATATTCACATTATGATTAAGTTCAAACAATCTCTAAGTCCAACGGTCATGATATTATGCAACTGTGGTCAGTCTGGAGATATTATGTGGAAATATGAGCATGAATCTTGAGAAGGAAACTGCAATTCAATAACATCCCGAGAGAGTAGGCTATGGGGTGCTTAAAATTTTTTTAAAGAATGGTTTTAGAGGCAAAGTAATTAAGTGGATCAACATAGAAAGTATCATGCTAAGTGAAATGAGTCAGAGTGAGAGAGAGAAGGACAGACATAGAATGACTCCACTCATTTGTGGAATATAAAGTAAAGAATATAATGGGAGACTAACACCCAAGGATAGTAGAGGTAAGGACCAGAAGGATCGCTCCACAGCTTGGAAACCAGCCTCACATCCTGGGGAAAAAGGCAGCTGGGATTGAGAAAGGACCACTAAATAAATGATGTTTGGAGGGCATGCACAGGATGGGAGATACATGATGAAAGTGGACAATAGACCAAACTTGGTGGTCACTTAATACCTATAATGCAAACCATAACACCCAAAAGAAGATAGAGTAAATGGGAATGTGCCTGCCACAGAGGTGTGGGAAAATAGGTGGGAAGGATATAGGGAAAATTGATGGTGGAGAATGGTGCTTGGTGGAGGGATAGGTTCTCAATCATCATATGGCTGAAACATAATCAGGAAAGTTTGTAAATCTGTAACTTTATCTCACAGTGATTCATTAAAAAAAGGAAAAAATGTTTAAAAAGTGGCAATGTAGAAAACTGCAAAGATAGAAGAGAAGGAGGATGAGGCAGAGGAGAAAGAGGAGGAGTAGGGGGAGAGGAGACACAGGAGGAGCAGACGGAGGAGGCGATAATCTGTGAAAAATACTTTTTTATGTTTTAGGCTTCATCTGCCTTTGGACCTGTAATTTGGGCACCTGCTGATGCAAGGTGGGAAACAAGATTGAGGTAGGGAACACTGAGACCAATTGCAGAGAGCCAACAAGGTCCAGAGAGCAAAGCTCAGGGCAGGGGAGTGTTGGGGCAGATCTGATCATAGTTCCCTGGCCATGTTCCTGAACGCTTCTGTACACAAGAAATGTACACACACCTGGAATTCTCCCTTGGAATTGAGTCAGCTTCTTCCAGAAGGGACTGAGATGGGATTGGAAGAGCAGCTGTGACTCAGGGGGGAGCCTCTCAGCCACCAAGTCCACCTTCACCTCTGCAAGGCCTGAGTGCACTCAAGTTCCTGCCCTCCTGACCCTCCCTGCCCTCACACCCTTTTATTACTCTTGTTACTACCGGGAAGATTCTGTGTCCTCAGCACCTGGCAGCTTCCATGAACACATGCAATTAGAGGTGAAGGTACAGAGGAGGAATAGTATCAAGTACATCAGTGAGAAATCAGCCTCTTAGTTATAAATCCAAGGTCGAGATCAACCTCTAAGTAAAATAAATCTACTTTAGTTACAATGAGGGCAGCAAAGGTTGCAATCAGGCAAGAAGAAAATAAGAAATTATCATGGTTTGCTTTTGTTTTTCTTTCTGTTCGGGGGCCACACCCAACAGTGTTCAGGGCTTACTCCTGGCTCTAAACTCAGGGCACTGGGAACTTAATGGGATGCCAAAGACTAAATCCGAGTCACAGTATGCAAGGCAACTGTCCTACCTGCTGTGTACCAGAAATTATCATGACTTTATTACTATACTTGAAAAACTTTTTGTGACTCTTCTGTGAAAAACATCAAAAACAGCAGTTGGTTAGTGTTTGGATGACTGAGCGCACATAAATAGGATTTCTGAGAGGACAAAATGCTCTTCAGCATGTGATTGGTGCATATTACCTGGATTGATCTACTTTCCACACTTCATTCTAATAAGCATTTATTAAACAACATGATTTATATACTTTGACGTAAGTTCTACTTACTAAAATATACTATAATATAGTAAATAAAGAAAATATAAAAACAGGGGATGGGAGATAGTATAATAAAATGAGCGAAATTCAGTTCAAATCCTTGCCTCACCTGACCTCCTGAGCATCCCAGGTACAGCTCTATTGGTCTCAGAGAACCACCAGTGTGGCTTGGGTCTCCTCCGCTACCAAAGCGCCCAAGGAGCACCTCATTATCAGATCCTAGCATTGAACTGTAGACACACATTTTTTGAGAGACCTAAACTCAGGACTGAGTAAGGAAAGACTGATCTGTGGAATTTCAATATGTGTTCTTTTTCATCCTGACATAATGTCCTCAAGAACAATGATATTGAATTAAATAAAGAATTTGGAACTGCCCCATGCCCTTTAGTTTGGAAGTGGAAGACCATGAACAGGGTTTTCCAAAGTTCACTGGATTGGTCAATGCCAATCAATATCAAGGCAAGGACAAATCTACACCACAGCGGATAGGAGCTTGCATATGATCAACCCTAGTTTGATCCCCGACATCCCATATGGTACCCTAAGCCCTGCCAGAAATGATCTCTGAGCATTGCAGGCAGTCCTTCTCTAGCACCCCACCAAAACATAAAAATGGACAACAAATCTAGACCATTCGACCAAGGAATCTTCAGACTCATACATGATTTTTAAATTTAAGCTTTTTTTATAATCAGTAAATACATTTTAATGATCCAAGCATTTGAGAAAATTTGGGGCTAAAGTCAATATACTGCAATTTAATTAATTAATTAATTTATTATTAGTGAGACACCATGAGGTACTGTTGTAGACTTACAAATTTTGTGCTTCGGTTTCAATTATACAATGATCAAATACCCATCCCTCCATCAGTGCCCATTTCCCACTACCACGGATCCCAGTATCCCTCCCAACCACATCAACCCCCATCCCACCCTGCCTCTGTGGCTGGGCATTCCCCTCAGTTATCTCTCTTCTTTTGGGTGTTGTGGTTTTGCAAACCACAACAACTAAATTTAAGTTTTTCTTAAAAATATTTGAAGCCTATAAATTCATCACAAGCCTGAACATCTCCTGGGGTATGGAAAGTATTCCAAGGCCCCCCACCGTCAAACATATCCACAGAAAGTTTAGAAAACCACTGGTCAGTGTTTTTCAAACTCTGGGTAAAAGTCTCAGTCCACTGAGACCCACTCATCAAGGTTCCCTGAAGAAATCTTGCAGAACTGACTCCATCCTTGCATGTGACAGAGAAGTCAAGGCATCATTCTAACAATATTGGCTCAATTTGTAGAGATACACGCCCTTATGATGTTTGGCATAACCGTGTGCAGGACTGTATCCTAAAATGCAAACTCACTGTCAATGATAGTATTTTTTTTCAAAAGTTTATGGACCCAGAAATCTCCTGTTGATGTCTGAAGAGAAATAGAATATGTCAAGTACCTTCCTGATCAGTTATCTGAGTCTTGGGATGCTGACAGGAAGGACTGTCATGGGCAGATGGTGCCAGGCTGATCTCAGCTATTCTTGCAGGTGCTAAGCAACTACATTCTACCTAGAGTCTAAGTAACAGGGAAAAAAACCTTTGGAGAAAAAACTGCACTCCTTCTGTACTTCTCAGTTTTTGGTACTTCTCTCCTCTAATCTTGGGGGTAAATTAGCTGTCACCAGAGGAAGGTGAAGGATTAAGATCTTAGAGGTAAGACACTGTGATATTGACTCCTAGCCCACTGATGTACCTAAAGCGGCACACATGTGTTTGGTTTTAACACACTTGCTTGTATTCTCTTATATACATTCTCCGTCCTTCTCAGAGAGCCCAGCAAGGTACCGAGAGTATCCTGCCTGCACGGCAGAGCCTGGCAAGCTCCCTGTGGCATATTCGATATGTCAAAAACAGTAACAAGAATGGGTCTCATTCCCCTGACCCTGAAAGGCCTCCAGTGGGGCACCGTTGGGAAGAATGAGAAGTAGAGGGTGCTAAAATGTCAGGTCTGGGAAGACTGGGGATGTTACTGGCGCCCACTCGAGCAAATCAGGATGAGCAAATCGGGATGACAGTAAAACAGTGATACCCTTTCCCTGACCTCAGCCTCAGTCCTCATTTGTTTGCCTTCCCTCATAAAAATAGCATCTAGATAGACAAGGCAGTCTAGCAACACAGCTTCAGGACCAACCCCAGAAGAGATGGAACCTAAGATAAATCTCAGGGGTTGAATACTATGGGGGTCCCTTAGGATATGCATCTTTAGGCTCAATACTATGGGGGTCCCTTAGGATGGAGGACAGGCCAAGTCCTCTCCCTGCCAAAGCGCCAGCATCTGCACCCACTGCCCAGAGCTGGAGCCATGCAAACAACCCCAACCTCACTGCTTCACACCGCATCTCTGCAGAGATGCCAGGCTAATGAAAATTCCTAGTACATAGGTTTCTGACCTGAAAACTCTGGGTTCTTCTTGGAGTAGGGAAAAGCAGCCTTCCCCACCCTGCTGTACTGCTGGAAGACTCACAAGTGACACCCACATCCCACAGTCACTTCCTTATAAAAAACGCCCAGCTTTACAGTCTCAGGGGAGATGCAAGCCAAGCTAAGCTGCTGAATCCAATTGTCCCAGTTCTACAGATCCTGGACTTCTGGAGTGTGCAGTCACACAGGGGGCCGAGTGACCCTACCAAATTACACGGTACTGAGGGCTCTTTAGAGCACACCAAATTAGATCAGAATGTAACATAGAAGTCAAAGAAGCTCAGTTTAAAAAATCAGTAACAGAAGCTCAACTATCACCAAACAACTTGGTAAACCCTCAGACAAATATTTTGACCCCATTGTAAGACATAACCATTTTCACAAATTTTGTTCCGCAATATTATTTGGTAATTCCATTAATTATTGCGTTGCACAAACAAGATAGATCAATTATTTGGTGCCTGCTAAAGGACAGCCTTCGTGGGACGGGGGAAGCAATCTAAGAACTGTGTAGAGGGAAGGTCACAATGGTGATAGGATAGATTTGGAACACAATGCCTGAAACAATAGTGATATGAACAACTTTGTGAACTGCAGTGTCTATATAAATCTTAAATTGAAAAACTAAAATAAAAAAACAATGAATACCTACTAGACAGGGGTGTCATCACATTGGGCAGGATCAACTGCCAGACATGCTTGAGGCCATGCTTGAAATAACTGCATGAATCATCTCAGTCTCCAGAACACCTGGGAGAGTCTCCTAGATCCCTAGAAATGACATGATTCCCACCAAAGAAATAACACCCGTATCATTTAACTAACTCACTCTTACAGACCCTTCATTTCCTGACTACTGCTCACATTTATATCTTTCCCTGCAAACAGCCTTTTCAATAAACAGTTTTACATGCACTTTAAAAAATATATAAATGTTACTATGTTGTTCATAATACAGTTGTTTCGGGCATTAAATTTTCCAACACCAACATGTCTACGTCCAGTGTGACCTTCCCTCCACCAATGTCCCTGGTAACCCACCCACCATTTCAACCTACTCGCTTAGTAGGTACAATAATTTTACTTCCTATGGTTTGTTACAACGCAAAGTCAAATGGAAGTATCCAACTAAGGTCAATAAAAGTTCAGTGGTTTTCACTGTTATAATTTTTCAATGGCAATACTGAATCATTGAGAATTTCCTGAGTAGTTTTTTTTCTTTATTTAAAATTTTTTTATTAGTGAAACACCATGAGGTACAGTTGTAGACTTACAGATTTTTGTTCTTGGGTTTCAGTTATAGAACGATTGAGTACCCATCCCTCCACCAGTGCCTGTTCCCCACCTGCAATGCTCCCAGAATCCCTCCCAACTCCCACCCCACCCCATCTTACCCCCACCTCTGTGGCAGGCATTTCCTTTTGTTCACTCTCTC